AAAACAAAGAGAACAAGTTGTGAGTTTTCATAAAACATGAAAGCTCCTTCACTGGACCATGTCTTCCCGCTCTTCCTCACAGGGTCCCTCAATTCCAGGCTGATGCTAATGAACGTGGGTCTGCCACGGACATTATCTGCTGCCAACCGTCTGAGGTAAAGGCAATGAGTTTGGCACGGTAAGTGATAGCCTCGCTGACTCCTGTGGAGAACTACAAAGACAGACTGCATGCCTGCGAGGAAAAGCCAATACCTGTGTGCCTCTGTTCATTGGCTGTGCCAGACTGGAGTGGCTTAAAGAGAGAATGAACGACAACGAGGAATTAAGGAGGATTATGGGCCAGTCTGTGCCGTAATGAGCCCGAGGTGAGGTGGGTTCCAGCCAAAGTCTGAGCAGGCCTCTCATTGATGTCTACTGCACACAAAATTGCAAATAATCTGCAGACATCCTTCCAGATGTCCCCTCGAATTTCCTGCGGCTTAAGACAAATCGAAAGTGCTTTGAAAGTTTTGATAATCAAATAGCAAGTTTGATTGAAACCTTGCACATGGTGGAATGTAGCGTGCAGATGTCTAAAGATGTTTAACTTGTGCCCTAATGACAGTCATCCCATCTCAAGGCAATCTGACGGGGATTTGGGGAGGACAAAGTTATCTGCTGAATTTGGTATGTTCTATATGGAAATGAACAATGCTGGCCATTTTGATGTACAGTATTTTCATCATTAAATTAAAAATATCTATATTATATGCAGTGCATCCAAAAAGTATTGATAGCGCTTTATTTTTTCCACATTTTTTTTGTTACAGCCTTATTACAAAATGGATTAATTTATTTCCTCAAAAATCTACACACAAATGCCCTGTAATGACAATGTGAAAAAAATGTAGCAAGTTTTTTGTTAAAAACCAAAAACCTGAAAAATCACATGTACATAAGTATTCACAGCCTTTGCTCAATACTTTGTTGATGCACCTTTGGCAGCAATAACAGCCTCAAGTCTTTTTGAATATGATGCCACAAGCTTGGCACACTTGTCTTTGAAATTTTTGTCCATTCCTCTTTGCAGTACCACTCAAGCTCTATTAGGTTGGATGGGAAGCGATGGTGTACAGCAATTTTCAGATCTCTCCAGAAATGTTTAATAGGATTTGGGTCTGGGCTCTGGATGGGTCACTCAAGACATTCACCGAGTTGTTGTGAAGCTACTCCATTGATATTTTGGTGGTGTGCATTGGGTCGCTGTCCTGCTGAATGATGAACCGTCACCTCAGTCTGAGGTCAAGAGCACTCGGAAGCAGGTTTTCATTCAGGATGTCTCTGTACATTGCTGCATTCATCTTTCCCTCTATCCTGACTAGTCTTCCTGTTCCTGCTGCTGAAAAACATCCCCACAGCATGATTCTGCCACCACCATGCTTCACTGTAGGGATGGTACAAGCCTGGTGATGAGCGTTGCCTGGTTTTCTGTAGACATATAACGTCTGGCATTCACTCCAAAGAGTTCAATTTTAGTCTCATTAGACCAGAGAATTTTGTTTCTTATGGTCTGAGAGTTGTTTAGATGCCTTTTGGCAAATTCCAGGCAGGGACTGGCTTCCATCTGGCCACTCTACCATACAGGCCTGATTGGTGGGTTGCTGCACAGATAGTTGTCCTTTTGTATGGTTCTCCTCTCTCCATAGAAGAACACTGGCGCTCAGACAGAGTGACTATCAGGTTATAGATCATCTCCATCTCTTCTCCCCCAAACACTCAGCTATGGCCGGCCAGCTCTAGGAAGAGTCCTGGTGGTTCCAAACATCTTCCACTTATGGATGTTGGAGGCCATTGTGCTTATTGGAACTTTTTGAGCAGCAGAACATTTTCTGTAACTTTCACCAGCCTTGTGTCTCGAGACAATCCTGTCTCGAAGATCTACAGACAGTTCCTTTGTCTTCATGCTTGGTTTGTGCTTTGACATGCACTGTCAACCCTGGGACCTTATATAGTCAGATGTATGCCTTTTCAAATCATGTCCAATCAACAGAATTTACAACAGGTGAACTCCAATTAAGCTGCTGAACATCTTAAGAATGATCAGTGCAAGCAGAATGTACCTGAGCTCAATTTAGAGCTTTACGGCAAATGCTGTGAATACTTATGTATATGTTTTTTTCATTTTTTTTTATTTTTAATAAACTTGCAACAATTAAAAAAAATCTTTTTTTCTGTAACACAAAAAAAAGTGGAAAAAGTGAAGCACTATTAATACTTTTCAAATGCACTGTATAATATTTTGATAATGACTTTTATTATTAATATTGATAATAATTAATTGTGGAGATAAATTCATTAGTTTTAAAAGGTTTATAAAATTATCTTTTTACAATATATACAAAAATATTAGCTTTTTAACTATCATTTATTTAAAAAACTTTAAATAAATATTGTGGAATTTGTTGTAGTTGTTATTTTAAATGTATTGAACACCCATTGACTCATTATACTCTTCTACAGTAATATATAATATATTAAAAATCTAAACATTCTACATTTACATTTGGTGAATACTAGATATGATCATTAATTATTAGAAAAATGTTGAAAAGCATGCTATAAGCAATTTTCAGCCTGAATTGAAGAAACAACATGTACAGGCTTTAAATGCATTGATTTATTACCATAAAGCAATAATGTATTTTAAAGATATCCTGCAGTGTTTGGAAGCTGGACTAAAGTGAGAAACTGGGTCAATTATAGCGAGAGATACAGATCACTGTTTGTTCCGCTGGTCCGAAGTGAACCATTTATGTTGAGAAATCAGTGGGTGTCAAGAAATGTATCTTTTTTTGTCTCATTGATTCCCTGCATTCCCGGTTTAGAGTGCAAATGCTCTTCCAACAGTGAAGAAACACAGATAATTGGCCACTGTTGACAAGTTTGTCCAGTAGCTGTGCTAGATTTGCTTTTTAACCGTGAACTTTAGGTGATCACATTTAGTTAGGAGAGAAGCGGGTAGCAACACATGGCAATGAACTGTTTGAAGTATTATATCTCAAGTTGTATTTGTTTTTAATGACTTTTGCCCTTTGCAAAAAAAGCACACAAACAAACTCCTAGTATCTGTATTTAAAAAGCTCTATGATTTCCAAAATGAGAAATACAATCATAAAATTAGTCAACAATAGAATACAAACACTATAAAATATTTTAGGTGAATTTGACAAATACTGAATGAATAAAAAGTAGGACTGAACATCCAATCAAATTGCAGCATAGACTGTGAAGGTTAAATAGAAAAGAAAACTATTTAAACACTGAATCTAATCTGTTTTCTGCATCTTTGGGGGCTCAAGTACATCTATAATTAAATGTGACTACACACAAGGACGCATATAGTATAAATATGTTTGTGTGTGTGAATATCTGCTATTGCACAGCTTTCCCGGTCAAAAAATACTAATATAAAATTTTCAGTTAGGTCAGGTGCGACCGAATCCACCTCCGTTTTGTATCTACGCGCAGGCGCACAGCGCTGCATTGTGGTTCATCCCCTCCGTTTCTATTCTATTCACTCTGAGAGGCGCTCAAACCGGAGGTTCAGTAAAGGAATAATAGAGGAGGATAAAGACCGCGATCTGTAGCGTCGGTCACTTAAGTAAGGTGAGTACAGTGAAGTGAAGATTACCGGTACAACACTTGATGGCCTTTGTTAAAGTAGCACACAGCACTGAAGCCACCCCCTTTCCAGGTTTGTTTGTTTAGTGTTGAGGTGAGGGGCGAAAACAAAAGAAGCTAGTCGTGACTCAAAAAAAAAAAACAAAGAAAAATATAGTTAATTTGTCTTGCTAACATCCATAACTGTGTTTGCTGAATAGTAGCATAGCATGCAGGGGCGGACTGGGACTACAAATCAGCCCTGGAACTGTAGCCACACCAGCCCACACTGACACAGCCCCATCCAAGGACACGCACATTCATTACTTATATTTGTGTACAGATGGTAAAATTATATAAGCAGTACCTTATTTAAGAGATATTTAAACATTTAATGTATGTGACTGAAACAAAAGCAACCCATTTATATATGCAATCATGTCATTCATTTTCTTTTCGGCTTAGTCCCTTTATTAATCTGGGAATCAGCAACTTATCCTGCATATGTTTTATACAGTGGATGCCCTCAAAGCTGCAACCTATTACTGGGTTTCCCAATTCGCCTACCCAATTCACCTATAGCATGTGTTTGGACTTGTGAAGGAAACCAGAAGGAAACCCACGCGAACATGCAAACTCCACACAGAAACACCAACTGAACCAGATGAGGCTCAAACCAGAGACTTTCTTGCTGTGAGGCGACAGCACTACCTACTGCGCCACTGCACTGCCCCCTTTCGAGACTAGTTCTGTTAATTTTATGTAATTGGCAATGTCTGACTTGACTGCCTTTCCCTTTTTATGGTCCATCTCTGACAATTAGCTTGTGTTGCACTTACTGTTTGTTTGACATTCTTGCCAAATTTTGATTATTTCTGCGTAACCTCAGATTGGGTCGGCCCATCTCGAAACCAGCCCGTTGTTGCTGATTGGGCCAATGCTTAACATTTACTGTTATTCTTACTATTATCACCATCATCATCATAATATTCACATCTTGCACGAGATAAAAGCTGCCTACATTTAAAAAACAATACATATGAAAAAATAAATAAAATAAAAAAATAGCTAACCGGCCCACATTTAAAAAATGGTCCGGCCCTTCTGGCATTTGCCAGAATTGCCAGATGGCCAGTCCGCCCCTGATAGCATGCACATTGCGTCTTTGTGAATTTTAAAGAAGACCATGATCTCTACATGAAGTTTTGTTAACTATTTTTTACACATCTACTGAAAAATTAAAGCAATTGGGCGAATGTGAAGGAATTACGTTACACTGATAATTCAGAATTTTCTGTAAAAGGGATACTTCTTGAAAAATGCTTTTTCAGTCATTTAGTAAATATCAATCTCCAAACCTCTTTAATTTAAACCTGTCTTTATTTAAAATAAAAATTAAGAAAAAAAGAAGATATTTTGAGGAATGTTTGCTACCAATAGCAATTGACTTCCAATGTATTTTTTCCTACTACACAAGTCAATGGCTGGTTTCTAACATTATTCAAACATCTTGTGTCGTTAACAGTAAACGAAATGGTAAAGGTATGCCGTTAAAAAAAGAAAAGTTCCCCTTTTCCACTTCAGCCACTGCTCTCCAGTGTCTGCACATACCTGCTACATAGCTGCTCTGGCATTCATTTCACCAGCATTTAGGTGTCAAAATTTCTTGAGCAAATTGTGACAGAAACATAGCTATTGTAATACTACTACGAACCATGAAAACAGAAGGAAAACTAAAAAAATGAAAATCTCTCTCTCTCTATAATAAAAAACAAGAAAAAAAACTCTTTTAGGGTCCTATAAACACAAATATAAAATAGAGTACATCTTTTGGCTGCTATTTAATTTAGCATAGAATAGCCGCAAAGGGTAAGTAGCATTACACAAAAGTAGAGCTCTTTAAATCCAAATCTGTTAATCAGAGAACTCAACGCCTGACATCAAAGGTTCAAGAATGTGTGGATTGAAATGAGCAGGATCACTCATCAGAGTGTGAATATGGCCATGTCTACTGTAACACCCAGTGTGTATGTTAAAAAGAAAAGACAGAAAAAAATAGAATGTGGGCAATTGGCAAAGTAAATGGTGTCAAAGACTGCAGATTTTATAGCTGATTGGAGACTGTCGCAATCCTGAGTGTAAATGAGATTTGGAGAAGATAAAGAGCAAAATGAGGGTCGACTCTTTAGATAACTGTTACAAAGAAAAATGACAAGAGAAATCTTTGCATTTGACTTACAGGGATGTTTGTGTGTTTAGCTACATAAAATACACATTGTGTTCAAAAACCTTTTAAATTACAACATTAGTTACTTTTATTTAACTGGATGGCTTTCATCTCAGTTTATTTTATTACAACATAATGTTTAAAATTATGCATAGGTTATACAGAGTGTCTCTTTTTATTGAAATATGAGTGGTGCTCCACTTAGAAAATCAGCTTTTAAGCTACCATTCTTCACAGAAATTAACACTCATCCCCTTAACAAAGTTATAATCTAATTAAATAATGTTTTTATATTACTATTGTTTTTATCATTGCATACCTTTTTACTCTACCGACCTGATTAAACAAATTAACCAGTTTTGAAAAATATGTATCATTAATTAAATTTACAATATACTCAAAATATACACACAGTATACAATACGCAACAGTCTGTTATGTTTGGTATTCAGTTTTACAGGATTGTATTTGAATGCTTTTGAAGTCATTAAAAATGTATTTTGAAGGACAGATGTTCCCTGGATTCGATCTACATGTATGTGGTATACACCAGAACCATATGTTGAGTATATTGTAAATTGGCAATCATTACTGAACATTTCCAGAACAGTGGCGGCAAGTTCCTTTAATCCTATGAAGGAAAACAAAGGGTATAAACAGACGCTGTTGCACATTAAATATCTTTTGAACATTTTTTTTGTTAACTCAGTGTTCGCGTAAACTTGGGCAGTTTTGAATATACCGAGAGCTACACTTCTTGGTGGTCCCGTGTTTTCGACCATATGCATAATAATGTCAGCGAATCCACATGAGGGTGAATCGGTGTGCCATGTTCCCAATTTTCAAGTCTTTGTCACAGTGAACTTGAGATCAGCGATTTCAAAAAATGACAAAATCTTGGAAACCACTGGTTCCTCTTGCCCAGAGAATTGACTGATTGCCTTCACAATGGGCAATTAAGGCAATGTGGTCTGGGGGAGGAAAAAAAAAAAACTAGAGTGCGAGTTTCCAGAAGGTCTGAGTCCATTTGGATGTGTTTGGCCTCAGGCATGGCTCACTGGAGAGAGTTAACAGCAGAATAAATACCCATCTTTGCAGTCATTATTAGGCTTAGAGCATAATATGCCCGAAACTTGCATCGGCCCTACTCTGGTTTGTTACAGTTTACTGGCGTATTAAGAAGGGCCATGGAGATTAGGATGGGATGCCTGTCAATCTGCATCTTACCCCACTACCCCCTGGTGCTATCATGGCCTCTCCTTGATCTTGTGCAAATTTCTCTCTTCATAGGGGATGAGGGGAATTGGATCGTGCAGGCAGTTGAGCAAAGGCTTGTTTTGATGTTTATTCATTTGCTCAGCGCTCAATCCAAGAATGCAGGAAAGTGGACCTCTGATACACAGCTTCCATCAAACTTTAATGAGGCTGAATAAATTAGCGACACAAATGATGTTGTTTTAGAATTTTACATCATTAAGTTTGTCTCTTTGTACAAATTTCTGCATATTTCATGGCAACAAATGCTCTCATTTCAGAAAAAAAGGCACAAGGCATACGCTTTCATCAACTAATCTCTGTGATAGACGTTCAACTTGATCTCAAGTTACTCTGTTGTATGTATCTCAAGTCAATCAGCAGGCTGTCTGAGTGTCAGCTCTGAAGCAACTCTGTTCCTACTTGCAGCCTGACTGGCTCTATCTGCCCGGTCTCCGCACCACATTTGGGGCAGGTAAAGTAAATGTCAGCAATCACATTGCTCTTGACACAGTAGTAGCAGAACACATGCTTGCAACCAATGGAGTGGGGCATTGTGGGCCACTCCCCGCAGATGGCACACTCTGTGAGATGGGTTTCCTCTGAACTCTGCGTTCCCGTTAGGTCACTAAGAGGAGAAAACAGAGCTGAAACACCAGCCTTCAGCTTCCATACATTTATTAAAGGCAGCAGGAAGATGAGAAACTCAGCAAAGCCGTGCCACAACAGCTCCCGGTTCAGGTACTGGAAGTTGATGTCTCGTGGCCCTTGGGGTCGACTGAAGACTGGCTGCACTCCCAACAATCTTTCGGTAAGGGTCGGAAAGGTTCCTCTTTGGAGGAAAAGTAGGAAGTTGACCAGGCTGGCCGCTTTGGTGAGGCCCAACAAGATGCTGAGTACTTTACGGGCTTTGCGAGCGTTGGACTCTGCTGGGTGGTTGAGAAACAAGCTATGGGAGCGCTCTCTAAACCACTTTTCACCCACCGTCAGCAAAGCAAACCAAAACTTCTGTGGCCGACTCATGGGCCGGTATTTCTGTCCCGGGATCAGTGCATTCTTGTACCGAATGTTGAGCAGTGACTGGCCCACGGTGGCACTGTTGGAGTAGATGGTGAACCTCCACAGGAGGAGCTGGAGAAGCGCTTTGAGTTCTGGTTCCACAGGGGTTAAGATCCCAGGTTTAAAATGCTGGAAACATTGGGTGAACTGTGACCAAACAAGCTGTTCCAGTGCACCATCCAGTTCAAAAGCATCCAGCTGACTGATTCTCAAAACCCGAGATAAAGGGCTTGGGCCGGCCTTGGCGAAAGGCTTGTCACCTCCAGCTCCAGCTACAAGCAGAAGAAGGAAATGGTTATGCATTTTTGCATTTGAGTTGAAATCACTTTTCACATGTAAAACCCATCCTAAATTCCCTTTTAGCTGTGCAGGGCAGAGGCACAGGAGGTCTTATGCTGTTCCCTCTCGAGATTCAGTTCGAGGACAAATCACATCACAGGAGATTATCCCAACAGCACAGGCTTGGAAAGGCAGTAAACATCCGCTATGTGGAACTACTTTACTTTGACGGCTTTTTATAAGGGATCTAAGAACTGTGACGTTTGGCAATTTTTCATGGAATGCGTTTGTATCGGCCTGGGTTTATCTCTTTAAATGCAATGGTTAAAAAATGAGAGCCAGGGGCTGTGGTGACCACCTCTTAGCTTAGGATGGGATTTGGACAATATCTGAAATAAATTGGCTTATGAAAATTGCAGGAAACATCTCAAAATCTTTTTTCTTTCTTTCAATACTTTAGGTTCATCTGTGCCTAAACCTTCACCAGTTAGAGAATGATGGAATTCATGAAGAAGTTGAAAAAAAAAATTATCTACTTTGAACAGATGTTGGAGACTGCATTTACGTTTGTTGTATAATCAGTCAGAACTTCTTCGTTTAGTCTGCTGATTATGTTTCATATGTGTTGAGGTTTAGAGACCAGTTCAATAGTTTCTCAGCGAAGGAAAAAATCCTTCACTGCACGACGGCACTCGGCCAGGTGAGACAAATCATTGCGGCAGGCCACTCTGGGGATACAGCTTTTCCATGTTCTCGTCATAGGCTTTTATTGAGCAGTTTACAAGTTATGAATGAATATGTTTTATTTGAGAACATAATATTGACAGCAACCTATCAATAGTAATGTGACTATTGTCAAGGGCCTGTCAATAGTAATGTAATTATGATTTAGAGGATCACATAGATGTTAGCTCGGGCAAGTAACATCTCGTATAGGACTGCTATCAATATCAGGATTACTATTGACAGGTTCTCTCAGACTCAAAGTACTTGCCAAATATATAACAACTAGACACTTTTGTCAATGTGCTCTGCCTATAAAAATTAAGCATTTGAATGTACAGGGCTTTAACCAGAGAGCTGAAAATCTATGCTTCTTATGTAATCGGCCAAATTCGTAATCAATGCCTCTGTTTACCTCTATTGTGATCAGAAGACCTGGCCTATGGAGCGAAGTAATTCATACATGTTTACAGTGCAATAGGCGAAAAATCTGTGACAGATAGCCAATAAGAATGAGTCTTAGCTGAAACAACAGTAGCACGAATTAACAATTAGATACTACTTTATGTATATTTGTAAGCTGATTACCTCATTAGCTCTACATATCAATAATACTCCATCTTTATTATTTATGATCTGGAGTCACCTCTACTCCACAGAAATAAGCTGAATTTTCTAGGAAATGGAGCCCATCTTGGGGCTGCAAAATGGATGGGGAACACGCATATAAGGTTATATCAGCCAAGTCAAGGTCCTGACAAGCAGCCTTAAATGACAAATGCCTGACACCGGCACGGGCTATAAAACATGTTCTCCTGAGGCAGCCCACTGGAGGCTCAGGCCTGCAGTTCTGCAACTGATAAGCTGGGTCACAGAGTCACCTTGGGCTTAGCATTACAAGGCAGTAGGCCATGAGATTCCTGCAGCGACTGGACAATTTGAAATCCAGAGATTTTTAGGAAGCCTGTGGTTACCTGACCTTGCGTTTGACATTCAATCTGTTTTTTGCATCTTTGATGTAAGTCAGAGAATTTATATTATGTATCTATTACAGTATATGGTACAAACTAGGGCTGGGAGATTAATCGAAAAGTAATCGAAATTGACATTCAGAATCTATATTTGATCAAAATTTTTCAGGTAAATTTTTTCAGTTATTTTCCTAAAGTGTGTGGAGTCCCCCGCTCTGTTAAGGCTAAATGATGCTTATAACGTTATGATTCATACGTATTGTTCTCATATTATACTTCTGCCAACAGCATGTGAACAGTCTGGCGAAGCCTTTGCATACCAGTGCACCACTCAAAAAATACTTACACCTCACAACAACACTTAGCGCAAGCTTTGTGATTGGTCAGTTTGATCTTACAAGAAAACGTAAGTATTTTACGTTTTGCCAGTTTAGTGGCTAATTCGTAGAAATTCGTAGGAGTTCAGTCGTAGGAAATTGTACGATTTTAAAAAGGAGGCGTGGCACCTAACCCCACCCCTAAACCCAACCGTCATTCGGGGATGAGCAAGTCGTACTAAATTGTATGAATTAGATTGTACGAATTCATACGAATTAGCCACTAAATAAAAAAGTTACGAATTGCCATGAGATTGTGTTGGATTGGTCGGTTTGGTATCGGTGACAGATCGATGGGCAGTGCAGAGAGCCACGTTTTAGGCAATGTGTGTTTTTAATGTCAGTTGTTCAGCGTTGATGTTCAAAAAATAATTATAGATAGTAGACAGTGTGTTTTTTTCAATTATTTTAAAATCAAGTAAAGCACCCTTCATTCAAAAATCAATGACTTGTAATATGTGACCATGTTTAATGTACAAAACCTACCAGTGAACTATGAGGGCAAAAACAAAATAAATGATTAAAATAATCGTTCATTAATCGTAATAGAGTTAAAATGTTCAATTTTGATTTTAGGCCAAATTGCCCAGCCGTAGTACATACTGTATTGTATCTTTTTCATTCATTCATTTTACTTCAGCTTAAGGCTGATTTATACTTCTGCATAAAGCACACGCTTATGGTCAAGTTCACCCTTTGCATGGTCACAAAGCCTTCACTGTGGCTGTCGCCAACAATGACGTGCACCTCTCAAACAATGTAACTACATGTTGCAACAACCCTGTGATTGGTCAGGTTGGTACCGGTGACGAGCATAGGCGGTGCCCTTTGGAGCCATGAGCCCGATGGAGTGAGTGTTTATAAGTGTCGAGTCTCGTAAAGGAGCTCTAGATGGAAACTTTTTTTTTTTACGTGTACCTTATGATTAAAATTGTTGCACATCCGGCGGTTCCCGCCTCTGAATGAGTAAGTTTTAGCTACTTGTAGCATTCAGAAAAAACAAAAAACCAGCGAAGAAACACATAAAAACCTAATGCCAGCTAGCCTTTCGGAAGTGTTACTGCATAACAACACAAACAGCACAAAGAAATGCATGCTTACGCGCAAGGCATGCACCTTGGGTCACACCGATCACTCGACGCAGAAGCATAAATGAGCCTTTAGTCTTGAGTATCGTTTTGTATTACATTATATTTCTCAAATGTTTGGGGATGGTTTTAAAAGTTTTGGAAAAATTATATTATTTAATCAAATAATATAGTATTATACATATTCTTATAAATTCAAACCAATAACATTTTAAATGATTAAATATGATTTCAATATTTGAATATTAATTTTAATATAATGCCAAATTATCATTATCATTACTTCAGTATGGTCTCTTAGAAATCATAATACGTGGATTAAGAGCAGTGTTATTACAGTTATTTAAAAGTAAAACTGTTAATTAAAATAAATTAACTGAAATTAATATTTAAACATATATTTTTTAAAAATACACTTTATTTTTTTAGCTAATTGCCAAAGTTAAAATGAAATCTTTTATAACATAAATGTTTTATTGTTTGATAAATTAAACTCGTTTGAAATAATGAATACAGTGAATGACTGAATACCAGTCTATAATAATAGCTCTAATATGTAGTATATTACATAGTAAATAGATACCATTGGTATTGAAATATAAACGTGCATATTTTTCTTATTATTTTAATGTCTTGTACAAAAATGAAAATCACATGCCAGAACAGTTTTAAGATCCTTCGCTTAACATTTTAAACCCACAGTACAAAAAGCTGGTTGTCACTTTGTATTTCCAGTGACAGTTGAAGTGTCACTCAGTCAAAAAATAAAACCCTAAAATCTTCGCTTCTTTTACATAATCATTTGTGCGATTAACGTTTCAGAGCTCTGGCGCCATTTTCAGCTGCTAGAAGAATTAGCCAGTCTCCTTGTTTTGCATTCAACTTTTAACTCCATCCCAGAAGTACAGTATATGAACACTGATGGCCATGTGCGTTTCTGAATTTGAAAGGTGATGTCATCCTGAAATGGGATTACAGGACTGCTAAAATACCATCCTGTTCTAATTGTTCTACGTCTGTATCATAAAATATGAATGTCTGCAAAAGCACTTGGGGTTCAAGGTCTGGTCCTAATGTCTCATCAGACGGCCCCATTTCTCTAATTACCAAGAGCCGCAAGTCTAACAAAACTTAACATCAGGGAAATGTCTTTTAAAGCAGCCAGGTCTGACACAAAGATATGCTTTGCTAAATCTTGTTTGCACAAAATGTAAATTATTGAAAAGAATTAATTGATTTTGTGAGTATGAAGGTGGAAGATTTAAAGCCTTAAGTACAGAGTTAGGCAGAAAAAACAGCTTAAAAACTCATGAAACATTTAAAGGCTGAGGCAGCAGGAGCGACTGAACAGAACAGTTAATAAATGAGAAAACTGTGAAGATGCATATTATGGTGTACAGAGGGCAGTCGGGCTTTGCTGTGTCCACATAAAGGATTTTCACTTCAATACATTTGTCCGGTGATTTTTCACCACCTTTATGAGATGATGTATTTGCATAAAAAAATCATTTTATCTTTTTTTAATAACCATTTCTTCTATTTTTTTTTATTTGAAAAATTACATGAACACACCATCCTTAATCGATGACACAAATAAATGAGAATTGTTTTTCTTCTCACCCTCATCCAGATTTGGCTTAGCATGTTGATTTAATGTTATATTAAAAGGCTTAATGTTTACATGGAAGCAGCAACATGGTAAACATTTTAACCACATATGGAAAATGCAAAACAACCCGACAAATAGTGCTTTTTAAATCTTAATCCATTTAAATGGCACAAATCTATAGGCAACCTTTTGACCTGGGCTGAGATCATACTGCAGTCGGACTTT